CGTAACAAGCCCATCTTGACAGAAGTGCCAGGTATCTAAAAGGCCTTCAGATATCTGTTGGTTCTAGTTGTGTGAAACTATCTGCTAAAGCCAAAAAAGGCGGACGTAACTAAACGGTGGTTCCCAATTAATTTCAGATTTACCTTAACAAAAGTAATGTGCTTACCACTTAATAGTTTCATATATGTCAATTTCTTTGTGTATCTTCCAGAGTCTCTACAGGAATTGTAGATACGATTAGGCCCAGGTGCAAAAGAGGAATCTGAAGCCTAGGGAGTTTAAGTGACTTGTTTAAGATTACATAGTGAGTTATTGGCACAGGAATATCTATTTCTGATTTGGCTCTTTCCAATATACCACAGCCGAACAGAGACTGTTACAGGCAGTTTGGTGTAGCTACAACACGTATTTTTATATTAAAATACACATACTAAAACATTTTTTAAATCAGCTTAAGGCAAAAGTATTCAAAACCAAATCAGCAATATATTAAGCACTACCTTATAACTAAATGCTACCTTTCCTTAAAAACTTATGCTGTGAAGAACCACCTAGAATTCCAACCCATAAACATTGTTTGAAAATTTTCTAGGTAGAAATCTCTAACAGACTAACACAAATACTTGGTTTCCTGGATCATTTTCAGGTTGTTGGTAACCAAGGGGTACAAAATATACCCTTGAACTACCACTTCATTTCCCATTTCCTCCCTAGTGAATCAGAATAGTTCATTAGCTGAATAAGGCAGGAAGTAAGGCAGTAGATTTCCCCACCCATTTGCAAAAACAATTACAATAATTGAACCCTTCTCAAGGGTCCCAGAGCTAATACAAACCATTATTAACGAAATTTAAATTTTAAAGCCTAGAAAAATTGTAATACTTAATTTTTAAAGCTAGTGTCTATATATACACAAATTAACTCTCAGAACTACAAATGACAGTGAATTTTTAGCTAGACACAGAACTATATTACAGTTATAACTGTGCCTTGTGGGTAGCAGAGACACCAAAATTTTATCAAGTAAACTAATTTGGATAGTGATATTTTAAATTATGCATACTAGAAATTCAGTATCCTACGATTAGGACACAAGTTAATCCAAAATACTAACCTTCCAGAGCAGAATGCTTCAATACTGAGGCGGCAATGTAGAGTACAAAGAATTTTATTTCTGATGTCAAACTATACTAAATCCAAACTCCACTATTTGAGCAAGTTAGCTCTCAAAACCACAGTTTCTACCGCTCTAAATGGCAGTAACCACCTAGCAGGGTTAAAGGGCACTGGTAAAGCACCTAGCATAGTACTAAGCAAAGAGAAGGCCAACAATGCACCCTCATCCCCATAAAAGAAAAAGACAATGTGCTGTAGCGTCATTCTGAAACTATTTATTCTCATGAAATATGTATTTCTCCTTGAAGAGAAAATTTATGTACAGCAAGACCAAGCTTTCTCTTTCTCTCGTATAAACCTTATTTCAGTTGTGTTAGAGCTTGAAGGGTGGTTCCACCCTAAGAAATTGGGAAGACAACTTGAAACAGTGTAAAGTATTAATTGTTAATAAAGAATTTTGTTTTATAATGTGTAATATATTAAGCACACTTACTAGTCATACATAAAAACCCAGAGATTGGGAGTATGCACATTTTTTTGGACAGGGTGGACAATAAAAAGAAGCTAGAGATGACTTTTCTAGACTATGTGGCTAGAGAACACACATATCCCATCAATTGAAGTCTAATGAAAATAATGAAAAATACACATTTATCCTAATAGTAATATAAAATATTGGGTTACAAGTCTCTAAACAACTGAATTTATGACATTCAGTATTAATTTATAATGTAGTTAAGAATGGGTACACAGTTCTATTTTAATTCACTTTTTAGTCTAAATGGATATAAATGACTGTACAAACTGGAACAAAAACCTGCTGACTAAAATTAGACCTGTTAATCACTGTTAATATGTCTTGCAGGTACTATACTTAAAAACAGAGATGTTCTAAGTTTGTAAAATTAGGTCTTAAAATCTGTTGTCAGGTTTATTTTTGATGTCCATATTCTAAAACTTTTTTTGATTATATTCAGTTCCTGGCTTCATACTGTTGTTTCACAATAGATGCAATGCTTTAAAATACAAGGCCAATTTAACATTTACAAATGACCATATGCTACTGGGGAGTATAAATTCGAGGTCAAACACTCTGCCAACTTTCATCGGTATCAAAAGCGGTAGCTTGTGTTTAGGAAAACACTGGAGCTCAGAGGCCATCTACATGAGTTGCTAGTCTATGTGACTCAGAATTCCATTTGTCCTGCTCTTTGCTTCAGAGCTGAAGTCATAAATGTCTCCATCTGTGACATAATTATTTCCAAAATCAATTAAGAGATGTCAAACAGAAAATTGTGGCTTCAGGTAATACATAAAATGGCAGAAATGGATAATTTAATCTTAAGGATGAAAATTTAGCTCCCTCAAAGCAAACAAGAAAATGAAATGATTTGCCCTGTTTTCCTCACTTAGGACAAGTTCTCTCCCATGGGGAAATATCATACTGTAAAAGGATGTGAACATTAGAAGTTACTTAGTTCTCCATACGAGTAAGCAAATAACTTTACAGGTTTTATTACTATCGTGCTGGGACATGGGGGTGGCAAAGGGGTACAATGATCCACAAGTTGAATGGTTCAAAATAGCAAAAGGACCAGATTTTCTGCTTTTAAGACAGAGGATGACGACATACTTTTAACAGTATTGTCAACTCCGGGAAAATACAAGGTTTAAATGGAAGAGCCAGCAATTTGTCTCCATGTCCTAAGACATAATTAAATTCAACATTTCCTTATTAACCAAATAAGCACAGCCCTCAAAAGAAAAACTAAGGCTTTATCTCATTTCCTATCATGTAATAGCTGGTACAAAATAAAAACTTGGAATTCACTTTTAAAAAATTGATTTCTATAAAGATAACAATGTACACAAGGGCCATTCTGCAGTGCTTTACGGGGTCTCTACTATAAAGAAGGACAAAAGTTTGTATTAAACTAAATCTATAAAATATGTTATCTTGTCCCTCTGTAAAACTAGCACGTAAATGGTTTTTTCCTTTGTTACCCTAGACTGTTATCATAAGCACACTGAAGCAACTTGTCCTGAGAAGTGGCATCTTCATATGGCATTCAGACTTCTTCACATTCCGGTGTGAACGCCTGCCTTCCCCCTTTTCCACCACTCCCCTTTACAGACCTCAAGTATCAAAACAACACTACTTGGCAATTATACCTAGAAGATGGTCCTCCACACCACTCCTCACATTGTTCTTCCACAGTTTTTCAATCTCCATTTGTTAAACTCCTTCCTACCCACTTTCCAAGGCCCTCCACGGTAGGTGTTCTCCTATCTGATACTCTGTCACACTAAATATACTATAGTTAGTGCCATTCTACTGTTTATTAGACTGTTATCTTCTTAAGGGCAGAAAGTCTGAATTAACTTCACATTCTCAATACCACAAACTCAAAACCTGGCAAAATACATGCTTGGTACATGGCGATTCCTCAGTGTTCTCACATGAATGGTCAACTCATTCTGATGCAAATTGAGATGTTGTAATTTTATCCCATGTAAAGAAAAGTTTTATCCTGGATTATTACTCTAAGTATCGTCAAAACCAAACAAACCAGGTATTTGAAACTCATTAACCAGAAAAACACACATAAGCTACCTCTCAATTGAAAGGTCCAGCTTTGAACAGTGTTGGTAAGTGCCAATCATCAGGCAGTCTGAAATAAGCTATCTCCTTTATCCAGATTTCATATGAGTTTTTATTAAAATCCTACAGATAGGAAAGAAATGAGCCAACTCTGATATGTGAAACCACTATTTCGACAGACCTCTTATTTATGTGTACTTTAGACCACTTGGGAAAGATGAGATCATTTAAGCAGCAGCGCCATCATCTCGCTTTATTTGACCCCAACAATGCTCTCAACCTAACAGTAAAGAGGCATGCATCAACCAGGCTAAACCATATTGTCATGCGGTGGCAGCAGGTAACATTTGCCCCTTTCACAAAGGGAAAAAGCTCCCATAAAGAACTTAGGACCTTCCCTAAAAATGTCGGATACAGAGGTACCCCAAGCATCCCCTTCCCCCACCTTCACAAATCTACTCCTGGAATCTGAGACATAGGTCCTTTGTCTGAACAATGTGGGAGGAGTCTGTCTGCAGTACTGGTGTGCTGGCAAGTGAAGAGGAGAATTAACTGAAAACTGTATAAACACAGAAGTTTCTTAATTACCTTAGTGTCCAATTTTTCTTCATCCTGCACACCGAACAGTTTCAAAAGACAGCCAGTGTGTCAGTGTGTCTTTCCCAGACTTGAAACGTATCGAGAGGAATACAGTAAGATCGGCGGCAGTGAGTTGGGCTGCTTTTCCAAAGCTGTTTCTGAACAGCGGAGGAGCAGGGGATGGCGGTGATACCGACCATTTGAACATCCCTTCCCTCCCCAGTGAGCTCAGTCTACAGGCCTCCATTTCTGTCCTTTTCTTCATCTGAACAAGTTCTTGTAAGGGAGGCTGAACGCTTTAAAAAGAAGACACTCGGCGGCGCAAACTTGCAATCTCGAAGGTTTCCGTACCCAAGAGCGAACCCACAACTCCTCGAGCCCGACCTTTTACCACCTCACTGAGGTTTCTGGTGCCACGCCAGCCTGGTGTTCCACGAATACAGCCCAAGTAACGTGAACACCACAGGACTGGGTCGCCCGAAAAACTTCACACTTTTTACCAGGCGAGACGAGCGAAAAAGCGTGGGTTTTCGCAAGGTGACCCATCTTCATATCTGGTCGACCCTCGGCTCCTCCCAGACCCCTTCGGGGTGGATCTGGGGGCCTCGCCGGGTTCGCCCTTTCCGTCCCATGCTCATTTCTCTCGTCTCCCCACCCACGCCCGGGGCCATGCCCAGCTGGACCTCCCCACCCCTGCACTCACCCTGGCGGCCGACGATCTCGGCGACGTGCTCGGAGCTGGGCACCGGGACGCAC